CCCTGCTCACCCCCCCCCTAGTGCACGGACTCACAAAGGACGCCGATTCAGGAAAATACCTGTCGTTTCAGTGCATGGTCCTGTCCCACCACCTTGAGAGCCAGGCGGTTTCATGGAATCATCATGGAATGTTTTGGGATGGAAGGGACCGTTAAAGGTCATCTACCACAGCCCACCCGCAGTGAGCAAGGACATCTTCCTCTAGATCAGACTGCTCAGAGACCTCAGCTGCTGTGCCGAGGTCCCAGCTGGGACAATGAACACTCCACTGCCCGGCCACCATCACTCCACGTTCCATTAGCAACAAGCAACACATAGTGCAGGACACAGTTTAGCCTCCCAGCCAGCCAGAGACGAGCAGCTGCAGGAGGACCCAGTGAGGCTTGTGGTGGCAAAGACCATATTTTGGGTCCAGGGTGACCCTTTAGAGGAGGAGCTCCCCTCCTCCATTTAAGTGCTTGGAAGATGGAAGCGTAGAGGATTGCACAGGACAACCCAAAACAGTGGGGAGCAGAACACCACATTCTAGGGGCTGGAGACACAAATCTGTCCTGGTCCTAAACTTCATTCAGCTCATCCTGGGGGAGTTCTGCAGGTGTGTACTGCAGGGAGGTGACAGAGCCACAGCAACTCTCTGCTGACCACAGTGAGCAGGGGCTTAGGAATCGCTTCCCTTTCACCCCAGGGTGAATCAGAGCCTCACAACTCATGGCTTCTGCCTGCTGAGGGAGGACATCAGCGCTGCAGAGCTCTACGCTGGCAGAAGGGGATTTGGTCCAGCTCTACAACCACCAAAACACCCAGGCCAGGGTGTTGAACAGATTGGTTTACGGTTCCACACATAGGATGGGGCTCCAGGACTTCCTCTTTTCATGGTTTGGGGGTTAAAACCCCTGAGCCTGTGCAGGCACAAGCAAAGCCATGAGGACCAGACAATCCTCACATCCATATCACCCAAAGCCTGGTGAGGACACATACTCTAATACTTAAAATAAAAGTCAAATCCTCTTAGCACCTTCTTCTCAGAAATGCTGAGAATTTTGGGGTGGGGAAAAAAAAAGCACTGTGCAAATGCAGTGGCATTTAGCTGCGACCTTTTTCTGTATGCTTGCAGTGGGAGGGTCTCGCTGTGGGGTCCTCTCCCCAGGCAAGCTGAAAGGCTACAGGAGGGATTCATTCCTTTTTAATGAAAGGATTTGCAGGTAGGAGCCCCCACCCCTTTTGCTCTTCTGTTCGCACTGGGAAGGCTCTCTTTGATAGCAAGAGATAATTGCCACAAACCTCCTGCAGTGGGCTATTTGAGGACTTTGAGAAAGTCCTTGAAAGTAATTGCAGAAGAGGGTTATGCAGGAGGTGATTAAACAGCATCTTGGTTGTGTTTTCAGTAGTGCTTCTGCAAGTCCCATCAATGTGGTCCTTCCACACAATTTCAGAGCTATTTCCTCTTAATCACGGTATAGCTCTTAACTAAACAACTTACAAATTTTTGTCTCTTCCAGAGCCAAAAGCAAAGGCTGGAAAGGTGACTTTCCAGGAAAGCCATATTTATGGGCTTTATTTATATATTTAATCTCTAAATTGTGAATTAGTCACTCTCCTATTTTGCTGATGGCAGAAGGCAGGTTAAGCACTTTAGCCTGTTTCTAGATTTCCCATCACGGTGCAACAGTTGGGTGTTACCTGACCTCTCACTCTTTTCACTCCAGGGTTCTGGAAATGCCTCCTCACCACCTGGACCCTCCTCAGCCACCACTACAGCTACTGTACAGCATTCTTGGCACTTGCCCACATTTCTTTTCGAACTCAAATATTTTACTGTTTGCTTTTTATCTTCCTGTAGGACAAGAAGATGCTGCTTAAGTGGTAGAGAGGGGAAATTCGGTCCCTCTTGGAAAATCAGTGTGCGAGGAAGGGTGGAAACACTCCCTCACTTCTAAGCTCAGCTGCTCACCCAAGGGCTTGGTTGCCGCTGCCGTTCAGCAGCCCGAGGCCTTTTCCGAACAAACTCTGCGGGCCGGGAAAGGCAGGATTTGCTCGGGGTGGTGGGAGCGCTGCCCATCGCTTCGAACCGCAGCGTCGGAGCCCTCGCTCCTCACCTGCAGCGGGACACGGCCGGACACGCTTCTGCTTCTCCAGAATCGCTGCGTTTCCCTGCGAAATTCTGCAGGTGCGCTCCTTGCGGGAGACTCGGGGCTTTCCCGCTAGGTGGAGTCCGGGGTAAAATAAAAACCTCAGCGGCGCTGCACGGGGAAAGGGAGAGGAATTCCCGTCTGCTGGGGCGCGCTGTGAGGCAGCAAGCGAGGCAAAGCTGCGGGGCTGTGCTTGCGGCAACCCCCGGCTCGAATGCAAACAGCGGGGACATCCCTGTGCACGCCGTGTGCCACGCTGAGCTCTTCACGGAAAAGCAGGGCTGGCCGAGCCCCCAGGAGGTGACCAGTCTTTCTCACCCACCACCCTGGGGAGATGCTCATTTGCAACCACATTATCAAGCTGCTCACCCCACTGCCAGGAGCTGGCATGGATTTTGCCTGGCAGATGCTTGGGGAACCCTGCATGTGGAGGGTAAGCACAGGGAAATCAAAAGAAGGTAAAGAGCAACTGGGGTGCTTAGTGCTGTGCCTTCCACTTCCCAGAAGCATTTGTGTCTTGGCTGCAGGCTCTCCCAGACCTCAGACTGGTTCCAGGCTCACACAGAGGGGCGCATGCTGCAGGGTCAGGCCTCGTACAGCACCAGGGCTTCCTTTCACACCTCACTCTCCCAAGCTGCCTTCTGCAAACGTCTCTGCCCTGCTCAACACCAGCACACAGCTGCTCCCAAACCCATGGCAGACCTGCTGTCCCACATGTGGGGACACATAACCCCTTTCCCACAGAGACTGTCCCTGCCTGCGTGTCCAAGCCGTGCAGCCACTGCCAGACCCATAGCAAGGGGACACACAGGACACCTACCCATCCTCACCATGACCAGGCATGACCTTGCCCCACCAGCACTGACAGGGAAGCACAACACGCCGCAGGCCCCATGGTCCCAGCCTTTGAGCACGGCCATTTATTTGCTCTCCAGTGTAACGTGCACACCGAAGAGGCCACATCCCCCTGCCCTGCTGGCATCCGCCATCATGGGGACATCGCTTGCCACTTAGCAGCATCCCAGGGGACCACAGGTGCTACCAGGATGGCAAGCAGGACCGGAGGCTTCCAGGTGCTCCAGCAGCTGGAAGGGATCACAGATTTTCTCCTGGAGGGCAGAGAACAACCCAGGGAAGGATCAGGCCAGAGGGAAACAGGAGGCACCCCGGGAAAGTGGCATTTCACCAACTTGCTCCCTGCCAGCAGGGCAGCCCAGGCAGTTCCTTCATAGCTAATGTGGGGACAGCCCATATGTTCACTCCAGCTGCTTTTCCCTGCCACAAGGAGGAAGCCAAGGGTTTCTCTGGGACTTTGGCTCTGCTTTTATCTGAGAAATGCCTCCTGCTTGGATAGGGACCCAAGAACATCTCCCCCTCCCCAAGTACAAGGTTGTGTTTCAGGGACACGCAGCTGCAGGGAGTTATCTCCCTTGGCTCTTCTGGCCGGTTTACAGGCTGGAGGGACCACCAAAGACAGGATAAGAGAGGCTTCCAGCAGATAGAGGTGCTTTGTGCTGCAGGGTCAGGGCTGGCAGCCAGGGCCAAGCTTACGTCAGCAGCTGGGAGAGCGATGGGCAGGAGGAGCTGCAGGCATGGGAGAACCAAGGCAAGTCCAGGTTTCATCTTTGGCAGCCCCCATGGACATGTTGCGGGAGCAAGGGGCTCTCATGCCTGGTGGTTAGACCAAACCCCCTCTTCTGAGAGCTCAAATCTGTGCTGGGGTGCAGCTGTCCAAACTCAGGCACCAGGCACCACCCTTGGGGCCCCATGGGCGCCTGCCTGGCACAGAAAGGCTCAGGTCTGTTGGTGTCATGCCATAGCCCCTCTGATACTCCAGGACAATTTTGATGACACAGGACACCCATATCCCACATGCATGGCCCCATTCCTAAACCCAGCCTTGACTTGCCTGTTACCTACCTTCACCTTCTTACAACAGCAGCCCTGCGGTGCAGCAGCATCAGCCTCGCCAGCTCGGATCAGGAACTTCTTTGCAAACCTGGAGTTCCGCAAGATTGCAGCCATCTCAGCATCCACATCAACAACCTCTCCTTCCTGGGGGTGAAGGGAAGGTCACAGGGCTGAGTCTGGGATATGTGACCTGGGAGACCCCAGGCACACAGCCAGATTATGTGTGTGGCAAAAGCAGGTGCCTGGCTCAAAACACACAAAGACCAAGTGCTGGCTCCAAACCCTCCTGTGAAGCCACCATGGGTGTCCTGCTCCTACCTTCACCACAATGCAATGTATAGGTCTGGCTCCCTTTCCTGCCCCTGTTTGCACCTCCCCTTCTTTATACAGTCCCTCTGCTCCCAGCCACCACCCCCTCTACCAAGGCTTACCCCCAAAATCACAGAGGATGCTGCTGAGCAGGACTGCTTCACCAGCTTTACCCCATCCCTACTGCTTGGCATCCTGGGGAGCCCCAGCACGCCTCTCCGCACCTTGAAGGTGAAGTTGGCGTCAAACACCAGCTCTTGCTCGTGCCCCATGATCCCGCCATTGTAGATGACCTGGCCCGGCCCAGCCCGGCTGCTACCTGGCACCTTGAACAGGCGGAAAGTCGCAGAGACGAAGCGGCAGTCGCCTGCAAGGGAGAGATTGGCAGGTTGGGCACCAAGTGCCTGAACTAGGAACCGGCAGAGTCTGGGATCCCAGCACGGCTCCCCATGGCTGCCCAGAGCTGATAGTCCCTGGTCAGACCCTCACCGACAATGTCCTCCAGCTCCTTGTTACCAATGGTGATGGGGCTGGCGGTGACCAGGCATGGGGGGCTGAACCCCACCTCCTCAGCAATGCGGTACAGGTCTCTCCAGTACAGGGCACCCGCCAGGCACTCCCCTGGCATGAGAGGGTTGACATGGGTGATGGAGGCAAAGGTCCAGTCCTCCTTCCCAAGCCACACACCTCTGGGAGGTTTACGCACCCCACAGCACCCTGTGCTTCCAGACGGTCTCGCTCAGGTCCTGGCTGGCATAGACGTCGCTGAAGTACATCTCTTGCCCGGGCTGTAAGGCAGTGAGGAGTGAAGGGAGACCCAAAGAAGCAACTGGACAAAAGGTGGAGGGAGAACCAGCCACCTCCCAGTTCTACCCTGCTCAGGACCTGCTCCGCAGAGGTGCCCTCCCCTGGCCCCATCCCACCTTGCTAGATCCCATGTGCTGCATCCCAGTGACACCTCAAAAGCAGGGCCACCCCAAATCTGCTCTGCTCCCACCACAGGCACCATCCCTAGCATTATCTTCAGCACGCGGTAGGCCTCCCACAGCACGGCCCTCTTGTCTGGGGCAAGGTTGATCACACAGTTGGAGCTGGGGAGGAGGAAACCAAGGCTCATTTGCACCCTCTTGCACACTCAGCACCACTGACTTCTGCTCATCCACCAGCTGCTGCATGTCTGATCTTTTCATGAAGGATTTAAAGAAGGATTTAAAGAAGGATTTAAAGAAGGATTTAAAGAAGGATTTGACCATGAAAGGATGGTTTGTGTATTCACAGGCTCTAGGCCAGACTCTGCCTTGAGATTTTCCCTTTCTTAACATATGTTTCTGAAGCAGGTGATCCAGTGGGAAGCAGACCCAGACCCCAGCCCATTGCCCTGGGCAGCAGCAGGACTGGGAGTGGCAGTGCCCTGTGCGGTACTTACACAATATCATAGCTCTCGTCAGCCAGCCCAGCGTCGCCCAGCTTCTCCATGTAGCCCTGCAAGAACTCCACATTCGGCTTTCGATAGCCAAACTTGTCCATGTGGTAGGCAATGTGTTTCTTTGCCACCTCAGCCTGGGAGGAGGAAGAGAACAGTGGTGGGATGCCACAGGAACAAGGGGAAGCCTCAGCTCCTCACCATACCTGGCCCTCGGTCAGGTCTATCCCGGTGATGTGGCCCTGCTCCCCAACCAGCTGGCTCAGCAGGTAGCAGTCTCTGCCGCTGCCGCTGCCGGGGGCCAGAATCCGGCACGACGTCAGGCACTCAGGGATCATCAGACCACAGCCGTAGTACCTGGGGGGAGGCTGAGCTGAGTGGGCAGAGGTGTCCCCGTGGCATGGCTCTTGGCAGGGCTGCAGCCCCTGGGGAGGCAGCAGCAGAGGGAAGACCTCGGGGTTTACCTGGCCAACACCTCCTCGTGGACATGCTCCAAAGCATCTCTCACCGCCTTGGGCAGGGGCCTTGCTGAGGTGACACATGCATTGGTTTTCAGGTCCTCTGACTTCTGCAGCTCTTTGCCATAGTAATCCTGAGGTGGGAAGGATAGAAGCCACTGAACTACAGCCAGCTGTGCCCCAGGATCTCCCCATGCACCAAAACATGGGGGCCATGGCTGTGCTTGGCTCGTACACACTCCTGGTGTCCTCCAGCACTGGTGCTCTCATTTGCACCCAGCTAAAAACCAGGCTAACATCAAGCATCCCTTTGCCCCCATCCTCCCCAGCTCCCCTTGCAAAGCCGTGTGTGCGCAGCAGAGGATTTAATTCCATTTGCAGTAATTTTGCAGGCTGAGACCAACATCTCCCCTGCCAAAAGGGGTGCGGAGAACAAGGGCAGGAAAACACGGGGTCGCTCAGCACCCCCCATCCCCGCGGGAACTGGCAGCAAAGCAGCCAAGAGCACACAGTGTTCTTAGCTGGGCCCTGAAGCGAGCTTTGTCCCCCAAAGGCAGCAGGCGGCCCGGCAGAGCCTGGGCTCAGTTCCCCCCCAAACTTCCCCCCGCGCCCCTCACCTGCACCT